TGGCTTAAGCTCGCGTGTTGCAACCAATCACAGGCCGACTCACACAAGACCTCAAGGCTGTGACTGCCGCCTAATGACACTTGGGATTCCGTCCGGAGCGGGACGGTCGCGGCAGGCAGCGTCGTTGACCGCTGTGACGACACCACGCTTTCACGCGGCCCTCACGGTTGAACGCCATGCCAGACCGAGTGGCAACTTCCTACTGAATCTTGTGTACGCAATACATTGTTCCTACTACTCTGGCCTTCCCAAGACTTCCCTCCAATCTCTCTTCCCCTAAGGAACCGGGCCTGGAAGATCGCAGCCGTTAGGGTTGACCTCAATAGCCTTAATACCTACGCGATACGCTTATCAAAATGAACGTCTCGCAGAATCCACAGCGTTCTGTGTACAATAAAGCCCTCTGACTTTTCGGTAACATACGAGGCCCAGGTAACTGAACAGAAGACGGTAAAACGTTCTCTGGAACCAGTGGTTTATATGTCCGACGTTTCGAGCTCTCATGCGAACTTCACGCCTGCTGCAGGAGGCATGGCATTCACGCGCGGATTCAATTAACAGGCGTATCGATCTTCCTGATGCCTGCCTTTCGTTGCGCGAACAGATCGAGGGAAAAGGTCAAGGTCACGCTCAGCAGAACTGAGTTGAATACACCGTGAGCTCTACAGTTTTTCGTTCCTTGACAATGAGTTGGCGTGAGAGTTCGAAACTTCGAACAAATAAACCACTGGTCCAGAGAACATTTTACTAATGCCATCTTCCATTTAAATATGGCCCTCATTCTGGTGACTTGTGTCTTTTTCTACAACCCGGAATTTGGCTTGATGATTATAGTGATCTGAGTGCGACAATGGTTTAGACGGCACACCCTCCATTGAATTTTTACTATTGCATTTTTTCAATATTTGCTATGCATACGTTACATCTAAACCACTAGGAAATTCAAAGGTACACGCCAAATTTTCTCTTAGATAAACTGAACTGAAATGAATATTTAAAGGAAACTGGCAAGTACACGTTTCGGTATTTCACCATCAGAAAATGAAGTGTATTTTCACTTATGTGATTATGAATAACCGAAAGCACATGTTTGTTAATTGAGCCTTTTTCGAGCGTAAAACGATAATATTTCTGGAACATAACCCTGGCAAAATAGTGAAATTTGCATATGTGCGGTAGGTGGCGTAATTCCTGAAAATGCAATTGAAATTCTCAAAATATGATCTAGCGCAGAAATAATTGATTGGGTGAGTTTGTCACATTCATGATCTCACTGTATAATAATTTATCAAGTCAGTCACCATAAGGTAGCTAATGTTGAATGTTTGTAATTTCATTTGACTACAAATACCACGCCCGCAGAAATGACTGCTGAAGTAGATTGCATTTGCTCACGATTTTTTCTTTTCATTTGTAGAAGAGTATAATTTTTCAACTTTATATTTAAAGCAGCGGAAAACCACAGTTTCCCAAAGTTTGCATTCACATGATTCGAACACCCTGAAATATCTGTTCAAGCAAACTGGTATCTATTCATTTTTAATGTTCTTTATGAAGTATGGAAAGTAGTGCAAAATTATGCATGCTTCATAGCAAAATACTATGAGAAAAGCATTATTTATAAAGTTATACTTAACATTTGACATCTTACGTACACTGATGTCCACACACAAAGGTGACCTCCTACATGTGCTCAAAATAAACTCATCTACGAGAGTAAGCATACCTGTATGTATGCTCACCAATGTATCTCTTCGATTAAAAGTGGCGATACAAAGAGAAGATGGATAGAAATTTTGACCTGACATTAACCGGGGAAAATGAAGGTAAAATTAACCGGGGTGTAGCATCATTTCCTCTTTCCGCCTAAGCAAGCAATTGGTAATCATATTTTTAAATTCATTTTGAGGCCTATTATGGTGTCACATGACAGACCCTTTAACCATTTCAAGCAGGATTCCACGTTAACAGGTCAGGATGTTTATAAGCCAAGTATCAAATCTCAGGCCGCACTTGTGCGAATCTGGCGGTGATTGGCCTGCAAGCAGACCAATCGAACAGGGCCAGTCGACTTATCGATCTGACGCCGGCATACAGAGCCCTGTGCAATCACCTCCAGACTGTCGTTTCTGGTGTTTCATTGGCCTCTAACCCTTATAACTGCTACTTATTTCGTTGCCACTTTTAAATCTGACGACAGATTCCAGTAAGATTTCGAAGGCTCGCATGAATAAGGATATGATTCCAATGACTAAAAACCTCTTTCTCCTTTATTTAGACCTCCTATTTTGTGTCAATCTATTAGCCCCAAAATTCACATCCGCAATTGCTGACTTACCTCTTCTCGCAAACAACTTGCTCTGGAAGTCAGAGCGGATATAGTTGTCGTCGATTCGCCGCCTCTGACCCCTATTCTGTGTTCATCAAGTAACCCATTTTTGGGTAGTGAAGGCACCGGTTGGAATGAAGTCTCCAGTTCAGAGGCCCGTTCATTGAATTTTCTCTCCTTTTCGCGGTTCTGCATTCGCTTTGGTGGCTGATCTGTCAAGTACAGCCACTGTGACCTCGTAAATACAGGATGTAGTTCGGATATCCAGTGTCCGTCTGAACATTCTTCTTTTGTGGGAACGAAGGTTTTGGGTTGACTCTGCGACCCCTCCTGCGCAGTCCAGTGTGTAGGCAGTTCGTTGGGGTGCGTCGTGTGACTTCCAGAAGGCACCGTGACTGCCACCTTATTGGATGCCAACCAGAGGCTGAACTTCACATTATTTTCCTGGCAATATCGACGTACCTACAATAGAATGAAGGACAGGAACCTGTGCGTGGCAGAGGAATTTGGAGCATTTGTTCCCCGGCACAAATTTAAAACAGAAGTACACAGCAGAGTTTACTGACTTCAATAAATTTCGTGACAGCTTGACCATGTGGTCAACCTCCAATTACCCTGGTAATTGGACACTTAGCTTTCAAACCCCAAGTGATTTTAGTTTACTTCCTCTAACCCCCTTTCTCCCCTCCTATTCGTTGATTTAATGCAGTGTCCTCTACCTGATCATTATTTAAACTGAACTGTTATGCCATTTCATTCTGTGAAATGTCAAACTGTTGTATGTTATCTTCGTTATCATCCTCATGCAGCGACAAGATACAGTTGAGAAGCTGTCAAGAAATTTATTGAAGTCAATAAATCCTGCTGTGTACGCCTGTTTTAAATACCGCAGAGGACCTAAATCATGTGGTGTCTTGATAAATTAAAAGACACTGAAGTCATCCTAATGCCGAATGCACTAAGTGCGACTGGGTCACGCTCTAACGGGCCCACTTTCGCTGAACTAAAGCCCAAAATACTTGTTAGAATTTCCTGTTATTTGGCTCACGATGGTACTAAAACCGAAAAAAATTAGATAACTACAAAATTATTTTTTTATTATATAACAGACTGGCTTACCTTAAATGACTAATAAAAAAGTGCGCTAAACATGATTACAATAGAGGCCTCTGTATACGTCAAACAATATGATTGTCATCAGGAAGTAGTTGTTATAAGTAAGCCCGACTAGAACATATGCGATATGTTATAGAGCATTGAGAACTGTGAGATGATATTCTAATATGTTGGGATTTAAAATAATTCGGGACATACTGCAGATTTTAAGTTGGTTTGGCAGATTTGGTTAAGTTAGTTGACCCAATTGTGAAAAAA